CAGTGCCAATTTTTACCCTTGGTGGTCTTGGGGGAGGGGTCGTAACACACAACTTGCTTCCCAAAAATCCTCAGTCACGGTTCATTAATCCTTGTAACTTTTTTCTCCTCTCTTCCTCACTCCGTCTCCGTCGTCTGTCTTTTTTCGTTTCTCCCGCACCCTTCACAAGCCCCGCCCAGGCCCCTCTCCGTTCACCCAATCAACGCTGACGTATACAGTTTGCGGAAACATTTCTTAAACAAACAACACAATATATACATTTAAACTGTTCTCAACAAGTTAACACATTTAAAGGCATTTTAACATTTTATAAACATTTCTAATAATGCTCAATGTTTTGACCGGGTTACAGTAAAAAAAAAACATCCAGCTTCTGGGCTACTGTCAACAGCATTGATACCAACTAAATTCAATGAATGTGCTGCACAGGGGACATAGCAAATAAAAGGATTTCTTCGTTTAAGATGAGCTTGGACTCCATTGCACTTTCCCGACATGTTACTTGCATTATCATATAACTGGCCCCTACAGTTAGATAAGTCTAGGTCCACCATTGCAACAAAACACTCAGCCAAACTACCCCTACTATGGTTTTCAATATGCTCAAAAGCCAGAATTGAATTTAATTTAATTGAAAGCCTTTATTGTCATTGTACACAGTACAATGAGATTTGGAGAGCAGCACATAAATAACACATACATACATATACAATATATTAGTGCAAGTCTGAATGTAGGTTGAGTATGGTGACAGCTTTGGGAAAGAAGATATCCCTGAGTCTGTTTGTTCTGGTCCCTATTGACCTGAAGCGCCTGCCTGAGGGCAACAGGTTGAAGAGATGGAAGCCGGGGTGGGTGGCGTCCCTCAGGATGTTTCTGGCCCTGCTGAGACAACGGGAGTTGTAGATGGCAGTCAAAGAGGGCTGAGGGCAGCCGATAATTTTTTGTGCAGTGTTTGTCACCCTCTGCAGTCGCTTCCTTTCAGCTTCCGTGCAGCTGGAGTGCCACACTGTCAAAGCGTAGGTCAACAGGCTCTCGATGGATGTGGATGCGGAGGAATTTGAAGAACTCCACTCGCTCTACACATC